CGGCAACAATGCTCGCCAAACACGTTCAAAAAAACAAAAATTGTATAAAGTTCAACAAGCACTTATACACATCCGCCACCCTTGCAACGCAAAGGCAACTCAAAATAATCAGTCGTCTCCGTATGTGGTGGTGTGTGTGTTCCTCACACACACACTCACATAGCACTTTCCAAACCTGCTTCATCTACTCCTACCAACACAGAAATTTCACATAATATTCAGCGACATGGCATCTATCGCAATCCATGTCGTCTTTGTGGGGGTGGTTTTTCTGAGATCGCCTAAAAGTATGCTTTATTTTTTGGTTCTACTATTCCTCTTCTTAGTTCTTAGTGTTTGTTATACAAATATGTGCTCGATGCTTCTTCACGTGTTCTCATGATTTTCTATTCGAAACATTTCATTTGTAGTTCTTTCCTAAGACAAAACCCCCCTCCCGACCATCTAATTGGAACTATCACCCCTCTCTTTTGAGTAAATACAAGAAGTAAATTTTGTTTTTATTGTTGTTATTTTTTCATTCCATTTGTCAATTGTTGTAACAAGATTTTGGACATTGATTGTTAGTTTTAGAAATGGACTGAGACAGTGGGACAGTAGGCAGAAGGTAGGATATTTTTCATGGCCCAACAGAGCCATAGGCTTGGATTCTTTAAAGAATATTTTTTCAACCACCAACAGAGCCACAGGCGTGGATTTTTTAAAGAATATTTTTTCAAGGAACAACAGAGCCACAGGCGTGGATTTTTTAAAGAATATTTTTCACCCACCAACAGAGCCACAGGCGTGGATTTTTTAAAGAATATTTTTTCACCCACCAACAGAGCCACAGGCGTGGATTTTTTTAAGAATATTTTTCACCCACCAACAGAGCCACAGGCGTGGATTTTTTAAAGAATATTTTTTCACCCACCAACAGAGCCACAGGCGTGGATTTTTTTTTAAGAATATTTTTCACGCAACAACAGAGCCATAGGCGTGGATTTTTTTTTAAGAATATTTTTCACGCAACAACAGAGCCATAGGCGTGGATTTTTTAAAGAATATTTTTTCACCCAACAACAGAGCCATAGGCGTGGATTTTTTAAAGAATATTTTTTCACCCAACAACAGAGCCATAGGCGTGGATTTTTTAAAGAATATTTTTTCACCCACCAACAGAGCCACAGGCGTGGATTTTTTAAAGAATATTTTTTCACCCAACAACAGAGCCATAGGCGTGGATTTTTTAAAGAATATTTTTTCACCCACCAACAGAGCCACTGGCGTGGATTTTTTAAAGAATATTTTTTCAAGGACCAAGAAAGGCGTGAATTTTTTAAAGAATATTTTTTCAAGGACCAAGAAAGGCGTGAATTTTTTAAAGAATATTTTTTCAAGGACCAAGAAAGGCGTGAATTTTTTAAAGAATATTTTTTCAAGGACCAAGAAAGGTGTGAATTTTTTAAAGAATATTTTTTCAAGGACCAAGAAAGGTGTGAATTTTTTAAAGAATATTTTTTCAAGGACCAAGAAAGGCGTGAATTTTTTAAAGAATATTTTTTCAAGGACCAAGAAAGGCGTGAATTTTTTAAAGAATATTTTTTCAAGGACCAAGAAAGGCGTGAATTTTTTAAAGAATATTTTTTCAAGGACCATGAAAGGTGTGAATTTTTAAAGAATATTTTTTCAAGGACCAAGAAATGCGTGAATTTTTTAAAGAATATTTTTTCAAGGACCAAGAAAGGCGTGAATTTCTTAAAGAATATTTTTTCAAGGACCAACAGCGGCGTGGATATTTTAAAGAATATTTTTTCAAGGACCAACAGAGGCGTGGATATTTTAAAGAATATTTTTTCAAGGACCAACAGAGGCGTGGATATTTTAAAGAATATTTTTTCAAGGACCAACACAGGCGTGGATATTTTAAAGAATATTTTTTCAAGGACCAACACAGGCGTGGATATTTTAAAGGATATTTTTTCAAGGACCAACACAGGCGTGGATATTTTAAAGAATATTTTTTCAAGGACCAACACAGGCGTGGATATTTTAAAGAATATTTTTTCAAGGACCAACACAGGCGTGGATATTTTAAAGAATATTTTTTCAAGGACCAACACAGGCGTGGATATTTTAAAGAATATTTTTTCAAGGACCAACACAGGCGTGGATATTTTAAAGAATATTTTTTCAAGGACCAACACAGGCGTGGATATTTTAAAGAATATTTTTTCAAGGACCAACACAGGCGTGGATATTTTAAAGAATATTTTTTCAAGGACCAACACAGGCGTGGATATTTTAAAGAATATTTTTTCAAGGACCAACACAGGCGTGGATATTTTAAAGAATATTTTTTCAAGGACCAACACAGGCGTGGATATTTTAAAGAATATATTTTTAAAGGCCCACAGAGCTATAAGCGTGGAGTTTTTAAAGAATATTTTTTTAAGGTCCAACAGAGTCTGGATTCTTAAAAATATTTTTTTAAGGTCCAACAGAGTCTGGATTCTTAAAAATATTTTTTAAGGACCAACAGAGCCACAGTCGTGGATTTTTTAAACAATATTTTTTAAGGACCAACACAATGTTTTTTTAAAGGATTTTTTTTTAATTTTTTTCAGGCAATTTCTGAGTAAGGGTCTCTCCAAGCTACAACTGTGACACACTTAGTGTTATTTACTATTTTCTTTTCACTTCCTATTAAAAGCTTTCCTTCTAACCAAATAGTTTTAATGACAAATTCCGCAAATCAAGTTTATTTTCAATTAACTCGTTTTGTTATTTTTGTTAATTGCAAAATAAATAATTACATATTAACTATCATTGTTTATTTTTGCTTAAGGAAATGAAAGGTGGTTGGGCTTTTGGAAAAACAATATATGGCAAAAAGGATTTCTTTTTTATTCTAGAAAACATATAATTACATTTGATAAAAAAAAAATATTATTGTCTTCACGTTATCTGTTTAAAAGGAAGTTTTATGGTATTTTCTTGCAACAGCTCGAAAGAAAACCAAAGTAAAACCCTTGGACTTACAGCGAAAATTGACGAGGCACATTCATACCTTTGACGTCATCCTTCTAAAAAGAAATGAGAGAGAGATTTCTCCTCTTTGGTGACTCATTGTAAGATTTGATGAGAAATATTATTGCCTCAAAAATTGACCAAAAAAAATTAGGAAATATTTCGGTTGCCGAAGACACTATATACCTAAAATAAAAAGTTTTTAAGACACACCAATCTGAAAATTTAAAAAAAAGGGGAAGAGTGATAAATTTCCCCTTCTTTTTAGTTTAATTTGCAATGCAAATTTCCGAAACGCCAAATCAACGGTCCTTTCTTTTTAGCTCTATTTTCATAAGCTGTCAGGGTTTTCCAGAATTTATGGAAGAAATTTGTGGCACAGTGTAATTTTGTCGAATTTTTGAATTTCTACGACGCCGTTTAGAGGGAGTTTCTAGCCATACTTAAAAAAAAAAAAGACAAAAATGACCCCTTTGGTGAGTCGCTAATTTAAACCAGTAAAGAAAGTCTTAAAGTCGGGCGGGGTCGACTTTATGATACCCTACACCACTTTGCTAATTTAGTAGACCTCCGCATAACAATTAAAAGTTTTTATGGGAGAATTCAATCCTACCCGCTATGATTATAATTATAATTTAAAGTTCAAACCGAAGCATTTGTATCTTTTAAATTCGGACTTGTATTGTCCATTTGGTGCAAAATTAATTTGAAATCAGATAAAGATATATATGGAGCTATATCCAAATCTGAACCGATCTCGAAAAAATTTGGCAAAGATATTTCTGAGCTGTATTTGATATACTTCCCTAAATATCGTTGTTACGGAGTGCATATTACGGCTGTGGGTAACAATAACAACAATTCGGATGAACAATATATATGGGAGCTTTAGCTATATCTGAACCGATCTTCACCAAATTTGGCATACTAGCTTCTAAGCTCTATTCGGTCCTAAGTGCCACATTTCATCCCATTTGGGCAAATATTAGACGTTTGATATATGGCAGCTATATCCAAATCTGAACCCATCTCGATAAAATTTAGCAAATGTATTTCTGAGCTGTATTTGATATATTTCCCCAAATATTGTTGTTACAGAGTGCATATTACGGCTTCGGAGGACAAAAATAACAAATCGGATGAACAATATATATGGGAGCTATAGCTATATTTGAACCGATTTCGATCAAATTTGGTATACTTATTTTCAGATCCAATCTGATCGTACGTGCGAAATTCCATACTATTCGGACTGATATAACACGTTTGGTGCACAATAAAAGGCAAATCGGACGAAGGTATATATGGGAGCCATATCTAAATTTTGACCGATTATCTCCAATTTCAATAGGGTTCGTCCTTGGGCCAAACAAATGATTTGTGCAAAATTTCATCTGGATCGGGCAATAAATGCGAACTGTACTTTGTTTACAAAAATACATGGACAGACGGACGGACGGACATGTATAAATCGACTCAGAATGTGATTCTATGCAGATCATTAAAAGGAACTGTGGGTCTATCTCGTTTCCTTATGCCTGTTACAAACAAATGCACAAAGACATAATACCCTGACCACCTTGTGGTATAGGGTATAAAAATGGAAGAGGAGTGAACTTGCCCACCACCATTTGGTTACTTTGCAAGGTAAACTTGTAAAACACCGATACACGTGTCTTTTATTTCTAGCTCTACTTTCATAATCTACTGAATTTTTCATGAAGTTTTAATGAAAAAAATTGAAAATTGTCGTACAGCGAAAAGGAGAGCGAAGTGAATGAGAATTATTTCACAGGGCTGCCTAACAAATTTTCCACCATTACTAAGTATTTTGAAGTAAATCTGGTAAAAAAAAGTATGGGTTTTTCGACCATGGATATACGTAGAGTGTGCGTCTTGAGGACCTAGGGCACGCGTACCATACTCACCCCTCCTCCCCTATTTGTGAAGTATTCCTATTCTGATATTTTTTGTAAATTTCCAGGGAATAGTTAATTTTAGTTTTTTTTAAGAACAAATTATTATTTCTTTACTAAATAACATTTCGAACCGAATAGATTTGGCTTGGTAACGTCGAGCATATTTACAACTGTTGGAATTTTCTTATTTCTAGAAAAGGTAGATTTTTCCATTGACATTGTTTTTGGGAAGCTTCCTCTGCGAGGTGACAATTTGTTCAGAGGGGATCCTTGAAGTGACATTGGTTTCTGTTGTAAATTAGGATTGAGTTTGTGTTGGAACGAAGCCTTGGTTATTGGTGATTTTGTATCTGTCTTAGATTTTGGAGACTTTTTTGTAGAGTTTTCTTGACAATATTTTTTCAACAATTTTCCATAATTTTTGGATTTTCCTTTCGGAGTATTAATTGCTTTTGGGTTTTTTGTTACTGCCCTTCCTTTGGTGGCAGTATGGACCTCCACTTGCCTGGCACTGTGGAGCGGCTTGAGGGTTTCACTGGTATCCGATTGATAGTCGCTAATTTTCCTTTCGATTTTTATTAATTTTCTGGAGGATTTTGAATGTTTTAAAGCTTCTAGTTCAGATTTGGAAATGTTTTGGGGTTCCTTCCTAGTTTTTCCCTTCTGATTCTGCGTTGACCTATTTGTCATCTTCAGCTTGGCAAGAAATGTGGAGATTTTGGTACTAAATTTCGGAGCATTTGAGGACTTTGTTTTTGTTAAATTTGTGGATTTCATTGGTAGCACTTCCTGGCCACCCGAACTTCGGCTGGCATTGGAAGACATTGTGGATTTTATTTCTTTAATCGAGCTTCGATTTTGCTGCGTTTTCCTTTGCTTTTTCATGTAAATTTCAATAACCCGTTTTGTTAATTGTCCCTCCAAGGGATCCTCTACCCCTACGAAGACATTTAAAATTTGAAATGGTGCCTTTTCTAAATCGGCGCCAAAGCTAACAATTAAACAATAGAGCAAAATTTGCAAATATTTGGTTCGCAGGATATATGCACTGCTTTGATTGTGGGGGAACAAAGGATATCCTTGACTCTGGCAGTCATACATAAAATAGCCCTGATCCACCCCGACTGCTAAACCAAATGCCAACTGACGTTGTTGGCATTGCAAAATACCAAATTGGTAGGACTTGAAGAAATCCATTAGGGCTCGCGACAAATTGAACTCCTTGGAGTTGTGAGAACCATAGAGATGTCCTTTGAGAACTTCTTGCGTTTGAATTTGATAATTCATATCCTTCCATGGCAGGGTGATATTCAACCGGTTATAATGAAAATTCTCATTGTTGTCGTATTGTTTCAAAACCTCCTCAGAAGCCTTGTCAAAAATTTCATTCAACATTCCGGAACTCCATTTATCCAAGTTTACCCTTAGAGCGGCACAAAACACCAATAGATTGCACATCCATTGGACACTTTTCACATCTCTTTCATTTTTCAAAATTTGTAATTGTTTCCCGGGATTATCCCACAAGGAAAACAAACGTTCAGGTATTTCCACTTCATATCCTTCAGGAATTTCTGACCTAGGCTGGCCTACACAATTGCAGTGGAGCAGCCTATTCCAGATCGGTATTCCATTTTGAAGTTCTTTTAGCCATTTTAGGGATTCATTAACCAATTTATTGGGATCCTTGAAATTCAGATGGGTATATTGACATATCGATGGTACACCATACGCATCAAGGTCCTGGACAATTATATCCGATGTTGTGCGAGAGGCAATAGCTTCCATTTTATATGAATATTAAGTTTTTTTTTTAAATTTTTAGAAACAAGAAATTTTTTTTTGAATAAAATATGTGAATAATAAAAATAGCAAAAAGTCAAAATTGATTTTTAGTGTTGGGAAATATGAAAATGTTCATCAGGTTTTAAAGGTTACCATATGGGAAAAAATTTTGGGAATATTTTAAAAGTGTCAACAATCTTCGACTTTTTAAAAAATATTTTTAAGGACCACCAGAGGCCTAGATTTTAAAAGTAGGGCTAGATTTTTTAAAACAATGTTTTTTCAAGGACCAGCACAGGATTTTTAAACAAATATTTTTTCAAAGATCATCCACGGCATGGATTTTTAAAAAAATATTTTTCAACCACCATCCAAGGCGTGGATTTTTTAAAAAATAATTTTCAACAACCACCCGAGGCGTGAATTTTTTAAAGAATATTTTTTCAACAACTATCCAAGGCGTGGATTTTTTAAAGAATATTTTTCAACAACTATCCAAGGCGTGAATTTTTAAAAAAATATATATTTTTCAACAGCCATACAAGGCGTGGATTTTTTAAAAAATATTTTTCAACAACCATTCAAGGCGTGGAATTTTTAAAAAATATTTTTTCAACAACCATCCAAGGCGTGAATTTTTTAAAAAATATTTTTTCAATGACCATCAAAGGCGTGGATTTCTTAAGAAAAATATTTTTTCAATGGCCATCAAAGGCGTGGTTTTAAATAAAAATTTTTCAAGGACCAACGCAAACGTGAATTTTTAAAAAAATGTTTTTTCAAGGACCAACACAAACGTGGATTTTTTTAAAGAAATGTTTTTTTTTCAAGGACCAACACAAACGTGGATTTTTAAAAAAATGTTTTTTCCACAGCCAAGATAAACATGGATTAAAAAATATATTTTTTCAAAGACCAACAGAGGCGTGAATTTTTAAAAAAAAAATTTTTTTCAAAGACCAACAGAGGCGTAGATTTTTTTAAAAAAAATATTTTTTCAAGAACCCAACAGGGGCATGGATTTTTTAAAAAATATTTTTCAAGGAACATCAATGGCTTGGATTTTTTAAAAAAATATTTTTTCAAGAACCCAACTGGGGCATGGATTTTTTAAAAAATATTTTTCAAGGAACATCAAAGGCTTGGATTTTTTAAAAAAATATTTTTCAAGGAACATCAAAGGTGTGGAATTTTTAAAAAATATTTTTTCAAGAACCCAACAGTGGTGTTGACATTTTTTAAATATGTTTTTACGGAACATCAAAGGCGTGGAATTTTTAAAAAATATATTTCAAGGAACATCAAATATATAATTTTTTCAATGACCATCCAAGGCGTGGATTTTTAAAAAAAAATATTTTTTTGAAAGACCAACAGAGGCGTGGATTTAAAAAAATATATTTTTTGAAAGACCAATAGAGGCGTGGATTTTTTAAAGAATATTTTTTCAAGGACCAATAGAATCGCGGATTTTTTAAAGAATATTTTTTCAAGGACCAATAGAGGCGTGGAATTTTTAAAGAATATTTTTTTAAGGACCAATAGAGGCGTGGAATTTTTAAAGAATATTTTTTCAAGGACCAATAGAGGCGTGAAATTTTTAAAGAATATTTTTTTAAGGACCAATGAGGCATGGAATTTTTAAAGAATATTTTTTTAAGGACCAATAGAGGCGTGGAATTTTTAAAGAATATTTTTTTAAGGACCAATAGAGGCGTGGAATTTTTAAAGAATATTTTTTAAGGACCAATAGAGGCGTGGAATTTTTAAAGAATATTTTTTTAAGGACCAATAGAGGCGTGGAATTTTTAGAGAATATTTTTTTAAGGACCCGACAGAGGCGTGGATTTTTTATAAAATATTTTTCAAGGAACATCAAAGGCTCGGAATTTTTAAAAAATATTCTTCAAGGAACATCAAGGTGGGGATTTTTTTAAAAATATTTTTTTAATGACCCGACAAATACGTGGATTTTTTAAAAAATATTTTTTTAATGACCCGACAAATACGTGGATTTTTTAAAAAATATTTTTTTAATGACCCGACAAATACGTGGATTTTTTATAAAAAAAATTTTTTTTCTCAAGGACCCATCGAAGGAGTGGAATTTTTAAAAAATAGATTTCAAGGAACATCAAAGGCGTGGAACATCAAACATGGACGTTTTAAAAAATATTTTTTAAAGGACTAACAAAGGCGTGGCCTTTTTAAAATATATTATTTCAAGAACCAACAGAGGCCTGGACGTTTTAAAACATATTTTTGCAAGGACCAACAGAGGCGTGGACGTTTTGAAATAAAATTTTTCAAGGATTAACAAACTGGAGGATTTTTTAAGAAATATTTTTTAAGGATAAAATAAATAAATTTAAATAAAATTTAAAAAATATTTTTTGAAGAATTTACAAACTCGTGGACATTTTAAAAAATAGTTTTTCAACAACCAACAGATGCGTGGATTTTTTAAACATTATTTTTTCAAGGGTCAATAGAGGCGTGGATTTTTTGAACAATATTTTTTCAACGACGCTTAGACAACCAAACATCCATTTTGTGAAGATTATATTTCAAGGACCCTTAGACAACCAAATGCCAATTTTTTAAAAATATTTTTCAAGGACCCTTAGACCACCCAACGTGGATTTTTTGAAGAATATTTTCTGGAGGACTTCCGACAAATGTGAATTATTTAAAAATATATTTTTCAAGGACTTCTAAAAGTAATACTTTTCATGTATATAAACGTGTGTTTTTAATAATAATTTGAAGTATTTCTCAAAGATATTAAGGATATTATATTGATATTTTTTAATTATTGTTTTTGCAAAGAACTAAGTTTAAGCTTCCCCTGTGAGGATATAGGATAACTCTTTTTGGCAGTACCGAACATTTTTCTTGCTTTGATTTTAGAATTTTGCGAATTTAATCTGCCCAAATTGCCTTTACCCATTTGGAATGTACCTCTTCCCGTACTCGATGTTGGTGTAGGACTTTCTTTCATCTCTCTTCTGCTTGGAGCCTCGTTCAAATTGAAACTCAACCTCTTGATAGGCATTACCTTCTTCAAATCCTCCATTTGTATGTCCAAGGCATAAATTGTAAATTTCTCATTTTCTTTGGGGACATTTAAACTCAATATCAGGCAATAGAGTAAAATTTGCAAATGATTGGTGCGCAAAATATGTGGACTGAATTGCTTGACTTCATCGTTGGAGTCGAACATGAAAAATCCATGATCCGTGTCAACAGCAAAACCAAAGGCCAAACACTGCTTCGAACATGCGATCAAACCAAATTGGTAATTTTTGAAGAACCACATCAAAGCCCTGGCTAAGTTAAATTCATGGAGCCCATATGGCATATACAGAGATCCCGTGGCCACTTTATGCAACTGAACAGAAAAGTTAATGCCATTCAGGTGAAATACCTCACGTTTGAGATGTTGCACCTGGAATTCATTATCTGTTATGTTCACTTTTCGCAAAAGATCCGGATATATCTTCATGGCATTTTTCGAAATTTCATCCAAAACTCCGCCAGACCATTCATGCACATTGTACTTGAGGCAGGCGCAGCAGGCCAAGATGTTGCAAATTATTACCTGTTTCTTTGATGTGGAATCTAATGATGTGTTATTTTTATCCACCCCATCTCCCCACAATGAAAATAATCGCTTGGATATTTCAATGCCATAATTCTTGCACTTGGCCAGAGGCAGAGAACGCTGCTGGCCCATGCAGTTGTATAATCTTGAACGACTCCAAATTGGCCCTTTATCTGTTAGGCCTTTTAACCAATTCAGCTGTTCGTTGTAGGTTTTTCGATTATCCTTATTCAAATATCCTTCACGACATGCTGTAGGGATGCCTTGTTCACCTGATTTTGGGTTCTTTTCTTCAGTTTGAAAGAGTTCCGCAAATATTTTCATTGACATTTTAGGAGCGAGTAGAGATTATCCATTGATTACACGGAGATATGGTTCAGTTGTTCAAAGATATCCATGGGAAAGGGGATTTGGAGCATAGAATTTTGATAGATGCAAACTTATATTTATTTACTCATTTAAAAATTGAAATGAAAAATTCTAAATAATTTCTTATCCCAGAGTAGCCATGTTACATCCAAAAATGGGTTGAAACTTCTGAAATTCTTTGAAAAAATTGGTGCTGGAACAATTTTTTTTAAAAAAACCCACGCCTGTGATAGACCTTGAAAAAGAATTTTTCAAAACATATTCCTTCTTTGATGATCCTTGATAAAATAGTTTTTAAATATCCACGCCTTTGAAAGACATTGAAAAAATATCAACGCCTTCTATAGGCCTTTAAAAAATATTTTTTAAGTATCCAAGCCTTTGATAGGCCTTAAAAAATATTTTTTAAAAATTCTCCTTCTATGGTGGTCTATGGAAAAATATTTTTTAAGTATCCACGCCTTTGATAGACCTTAAAAAATATTTTTTAAAAATCCTCGATCTTTGATGGTTTATGAAAAAATATTTTTTAAAAAATCCACACTTTTGATAGACCTTGAAAGTATATTTTTTAAAAAATCCACGCCTTTGATAGACCTTCAATTAATATTTTTTTAAAAATTCCACGCCTTTGATGGTCCTTGAAAAAATATTTTTTTAAAAATGCACGCCTTTGATGGTCCTTGGAAAAATATTTTTTTAACAATCCACGCCTTTAATAGACCTTCAAAAATATTGTTTAAGAAATCCATGACTTTGTTAGCCCTTCAAAAAATATTTTTTTAAAAATCAACGCCTTTGATGGTCCTTGGAAAAATATTTTTTTAAAAATGCACGCCTTTGATGGTCCTTGGAAAAATATTTTTTTAACAATCCACGCCTTTAATAGACCTTCAAAAAATATTGTTTAAGAAATCCATGACTTTGTTAGCCCTTCAAAAAATATTTTTTTAAAAATCAACGCCTTTGATGGTCCTTGGAAAAATATTATTTTAAAAATCCACGCCTTTGATGGTCCTTGAAAAAATATTTTTTTAACAATCCACGCCTTTGATGGCCTCTGTTGGTTTTTGGAAAACTATTTTTTAAAAAATCCACGTCTCTGTTGGCCCTTGAAAAACTATTTTTTTTTAATCTCTACCTCTGTTGGTTTTTGGAAAACTATTTTTTAAAAAATCCACATTTCTGTTGGTCCTTGAAAAACTATTTTTTAGAAAATCCCCGCCTCTGTTGGTTTTTAACAAACTACTTTTTAGAAAATCTCCGCCTCTGTTGGATTTTGCTAAAAATATTTTTTTAAAAAATCAACGTTTTTACTGGTCCTTGAAAAAAAATATTCTTTAAAAAGTCTACGCCTTTGATGGTCCTTGCAAAAAATATTTTTTTTTTAAATCTACGCCTATGTGGGTCCTTCCAAAAATATATTTTTTAAAAAATCTACGCCATTGATGGTCCTTGCAAAAAATATTTTTTTTTTTAAATCCACGCCTTTGTGGGTCCTTCCAAAAATATATTTTTTAAAAAATCTACGCCATTGATGGTCCTTGCAAAAAATATTTTTTTTTAAAATCCACGCCTTTGTGGGTCCTTCCAAAAATATGTTTTTTAAAAAATCTACGCCATTGATGGTCCTTGCAAAAAATATTCTTTAAAAAATCCACGCCTTTGAGGGTCCTTGAAAATATATTGTTTAAAAATCCAGGCGTTTGTTGGTCCTTCAAATAATATTTCTTAAAAAATCTCTCAGTTGGTTCTTGGAAAACTAATTTTTAAAAAATGCACGCTTAAGTTAGCCCTTGAAAAAATATTTTTTAAAAAATCCACGCCTAAGTCAGCCCTTAAAAAATATGTTTTAAAAAATCCACGCCTATGTCAGTCCTTGAAAAAATATTTTTTAAAAAAATCCACGTCTAAGTCAGCCCTTGAAAAAATATTTTTTAAAAAATCCACGCCTAAGTCAGCCCTTGAAAAAATATTTTTTAAAAAATACACGCTTAAGTCAGCTCTTGAAAAAAAAATTTATAAATACCACGCCTATGTCAGTCTTTGAAAAACTATTTTTCTTTTAATCCACGCCTTTGATGGTGTTTAAAAAAATAATTGTTAAAAAATTCACGTCTCCGTTGGTCCTTGAAAAAATATGTTTTAAAAAATCCACACCCATGTTAGCCCTTGAAACATACATTTTTTGACAAATCCAAACCTGTGCCGGCAACCCTGAAATTTCCAAAATTGACAAGAAATTTCAACCCAAAATTCTGTAATTTTTATTTCAAACCCCTCATTTCAAAATCATGCCAATATTTCCACCGGAAATTTGCGATCAGCTCTTGAAAACAATCCACAAAATGTCCATGATCCCGTTGGCGTGTCAGGAGTATCAGCTCAGTCCCATAGGATGTATACGTTCCGAAAATCTCGACTGGATATTGGATATTGAAGACAAGATCCCCATATGGAGTCGTTTAAAGGATATCAATACGGTAGGATATCGACGTAAACTACCCATGTCAATGGTCAGAGGGTATGATGTTGAAATTCCGCAACGTTTGTGGTCTTTGTGGAGCACAATTCGTGAGAATCCGAAAATGCCAATATGTAACTCTAAATCAAAAAGGAAGCCCTTTCTGGCTATTACGGTTATGGCACTGTGTGTCAGTCGTCTAGTTCCTCTGAATTTCTGGAATAAAAAGCTACTGGACAAAATTGTGTCGAATGGTTGGAAATATTTCAAGGAAAGCCTAGAGGAATTTTCTTGTCCAAATAGAGGCTTTCAGTTGGAGGATTTGTCGACAGAGTGTTCCTTTGAGGGAGCTCACTTTGAAGTATGCCTCAAGACGGTGCAACAGGGCCGTTTATATAGCGAACCCTTCGATGGTCCCACAAATCTCGCTTTTGCTCTTATCAACTTTTTCGTCAAACGTCAATTTGGGATTCTGGAGTGCTGCAATCGTTTTCTGGGATTTGGTTTTGTGCCAGGACGAAATGGTGGCTATTTTATGTTCGATGCCCAGAGCATGAATTTTCCATTGTTTCACAAGGATCAAGCTGGTGTTTATATGCTGCGCAGCAATCATTTACAAATGTTGTTGTATTGCCTTATTGTGGCTTTGAATGTGCGCCATATAAAGGCGAATTTCTGTATTCACAAAGTGGACATAAGGACCTCAAAAGCAGTGAGAGAGACCTCCTTCGAAGGTCTACTTAAATCCAAGAAGAATAGTTTGAAAATTTCCAAAACTTGTTTGGAAAGTAGTTCGAATCCTTCTGATATTCAAAATTCTCATTGTGTGGAGCGAGTCCCGGATGATGCAGATGAAAAATGCACTGCGAATTATAAGCGTGCTGAACGTATCCTACCTGATTTGAAAGTTGAAAATTGTCTCATCCAACCTATGGTGGATACCTCGGAGGATATTTCGAAGGCAAACGGTGATTTTGTAAAAATGATTTGTTCCGAGACAATTGTACCTTTGACGGAAAAAGAGAAAGGGGCGCGTTTGGAACACTCATTTGTCCACAAGCTCCCGGAGGCATTATTTTGGAGATGAATTTAAAATTTAAAAAAAATATGTATATTAAAAAACAATTATTAAAATCTTTGAGAAATATTTTTTTTTTAAATCCTCGTTCATATCCTTGAGAAATATTCTTAAAAAATCCAAGCGTATAACCTTGAGAAATATGCTTTACAAAATCCACGTCTATATTCTTGAGAACATTTTGCTTGAAAGTATTCTTTAAAAAATCCATTCCTCTGTTGTTGATGGAAATTTTTTTAGAAATCCACGCCTCTGTTGTTGATGGAAAAATATTTTTTTTAGAAATCCACGCCTCTGTTGTTGATGGAAAAATATTTTTTTTAGAAATCCACGCCTCTGTTGTTGATGGAAAAATATTTTTTTTAGAAATCCACGCCTCTGTTGTTGATGGAAAAATATTTTTTTAGAAATCCACGCCTCTGTTGTTGATGGAAAAAATATTTTTTTAGAAATCCACGCCTCTTGTTGATGAAAAAAAATATTTTTTTTAGAAAACCACGCCTTTAAAAATTATTTTTTAAAAAATCCACGCCTTTTATGATCCTTTAAAAAATATTTTTTTTTAGAAATCCACGCCTTTAAAAAATTATTAAATTTTTAAAATATCCACGCCTTGCATGATCCTTTAAAAAATATTTTTTTTAAAACATCCACGCCTTGCATGATAATTTAAAAAATATTTTTTTTTAAAACATCCACGCCTTGCATGATAATTTAAAAAATATTTTTTTTAAAACATCCACGCCTTGCATGATCCTTTAAAAAATATGTTTTTTTAAAAAATCCACGCCTTTTATGATCCTTTAAAAAATATTTTTTTTAAAACATCCACGCCTTTTATGATCCTTTAAAAATATTTTTTTAAAAAATCCACGCCTTGTATGATCCTTTAAAAATATTTTTTTAAAAAATCCACGCCTTGTATGATCCTTTAAAAATATTTTTTTAAAAAATCCACGCCCTTTATGATACTTTTAAAATTTTTTTTTAAAAAATCCACGCCTTTTATGATACTTTAAAAATATTTTTTTAAAAAATCCACGCCTTTTATGATCCTTTAAAAATATTTTCTTAAAAAATCCACGCCTTTTACGATCCTTTAAAAATATTTTCTTAAAAAATCCACGCCTTGTATGATCCTTTAAAAATATTTTTTTAAAAAATCCACGCCTTGTATGATCCTTTAAAAATATTTTTTTAAAAAATCCACGCCTTTTATGATCCTTTAAAAATATTTTTTTTTAAAAATCCACGCCTTGTATGATACTTTAAAAATATTTTTTAAAAAATCCACGCCTTTTATGATCCTTTAAAAATATTTTTTAAAAAATCCACGCCTTTTATGATCCTTTAAAAATATTTTTTTAAAAAATCCACGCCTTGTATGATCCTTTAAAAATATTTTTTTAAAAAATCCACGCCTTGTATGATCCTTTAAAAATCTTTTTTAAAAAATCCACGCCTTTTATGATCCTTTAAAAATATTTTTTTAAAAAATCCACGCCTTGTATGATCCTTTAAAAATATTTTTTTAAAAAATCCACGCATTGTATGATCCTTTAAAAAATATTTTTTTTAAAAAATCCACGCATTGTATGATCCTTTAAAAAATATTTTTTTTTAAAAAATCCACGCCTTGTATGATCCTTTAAAAAATATTTTTTTTTAAAAAATCCACGCCTTGTATGATCCTTTAAAAAATATTTTTTTAAAAAATCCACGCCTTGTATGATCCCTTAAAAAATATTTTTTAAAAAATCCACGCCTTGTATGATCCTTTAAAAAATATTTTTTTTAAAAAATCCACGCCTTGTATGATCCATTAAAAAATATTTTTTTTAAAAAATCCACGCCTTGTATGATCCATTAAAAAATATTTTTTTAAAAAATCCACGTTTATATGAACCTTGAAAAAATATTTTTTAAAAAATCCACGCCTCTGATGACCTTCGAAAAAATATTTTTTAAAAAATCCACGCCTCTGATGATCTTCGAAAAAATATTTTTTAAAAAATCCACGCCTTTGATGATATTTGAAAAAATATCGTTTAAAAAATCCACGCTTTGTATGATCCTTGAAAAATATTTTTTTAAAAAATCCACGCTTTGTATGATCATTGAAAAATATTTTTTAAAAAATCCACGCCTTGTATGATCCTTGAAAAATATTTTTTAAAAAATCCACGCCTTGTATGATCCTTGAAAAATATTTTTTTTAAAAAATCCACGCCTTCTATGATCCTTGAAATTTTTTTTTAAAAAATCCGCGCCTTCGTTGGTTCCTTGAAAAAAAAGTTTTTTAAAAACCCACGGCTTTGACGGGTCCTTGAAAAAATATTTTTTTTTACAAAATACATGCCTTCTTTGGGTCCTTGAAAAAATAAAATTTTTTAAAAATACACGCCTTTGTTGGACTTTTAAATTGGACTTTTAAATCCATGTTTTCTTTGTTGGGTCCTTGAAAAAATATTTTTTTTTTTAAAAATCCATCTTTTGTTGGGTCCTTGAAAAAATATTTTTTTTTAAAAAATCCATCTTTTGTTGGGTCCTTGAAAAAAATATTTTTTTTTAAATCCATGCTTTCTTTGTTGGGTCCTTGAAAAAATATTTTTTTTTATAAAATCGCCGCTTTGTTGTTTTTGTCCTTGAAAAAATTCTTAAAAAAATCCACGTTTCTGTTGTCGGTTGAAAATTTTTTTTTTTAAAAATCTACGTTTCTGTTGTTGGTTGAAAAAATAGTCTTTAAATAATCCACGTTTCTGTTGTTGTTGAAAAATTATTCTTTAAAAAATCCACGTTTCAGTTGTTGGTTGAAAAATTATTCTTTAAAAAATCCACGTTTCTGTTGTTGGTTCAAAAAATATTCTTTAAATAATCCACGTTTCTGTTGTTGGTTGAAAAAATATTTTTTAAAAAAATCCACGTTTCTGTTGTTGGTTAGAAAATATTTTTTAAAAGATCCACGTTTCTGTTGTTGGTTGAAAAAATATTTTTTTTAAAGATCCACGTTTCTGTTGTTGGTTGAAAAAATGTTCTTTAAAAAATCCACGTTTCTGTTGTTGGTTGAAAAAATATTCTTTAAAAAAAATCCATGTTCCTGTTAATCCTTGAAAAAATATTTTTTAAAAATCCACGTTTCTTTTGATCCTTGAAAAAATATTCTTTAAAAAATCCACGTTTCTGTGAATCCTTGAAAAAATATTCTTTAAAAAATCCACATTTCTGTGGATCCTTGAAAAAATATTCTTTAAAAAATCCACGTTTCTGTGGATTCTTGAAAAAATATTCTTTAAAAAAATATTCTTTAAAAAATCCACGTTTCTGTGGATTCTTGAAAAAATATTCTTTAAAAAAATATTCTTTAAAAATCCACGTTTCTGTTGTTGTTTGAAAAAATATTCTTTAAAAAATCCACGTTTCTGTTGTTGTTTGAAAAAATATTCTTTAAAAAATCCACGTTTCTGTTGTTGTTTGAAAAAATATTCTTTAAAAAATCCACGTTTCTGTTGTTGGTTGAAAAAATATTCTTTAAAAAAAATCCATATTCCTGTTAATCCTTGAAAAAATATTTTTTAAAAATCCACGTTTTTGTGGATCCTTGAAAAAATATTCTTTAAAAAATCCACGTTTCTGTGGATCCTTGAAAAAATATTCTTTAAAAAATCCACGTTTCTGTGGATCCTTGAAAAAATATTCTTTAAAAAAACCACGTTTCTGTTGTTGGTTGAAAAAATATTCTTTAGAAAACCCAAGTTTCTGTTGATCCTTGAAAAAATATTTTTTATAAAATCCACGTTTCTGTTGTTGGTTGAAAAAATATTTTTTAAAAAATCCACTTTTTGTAGGTCCTTGAAAAAAATATTCTTTAAAAAATCCACGCTTTTGATGGTCCTTTAAAAAAATATATTTCAAAAAATCCCCGATTGTTTTAGTCCTCGAAAAATATCCTGTAACTGTTTACACAAATTACAAATAATCTTGAGTAAAACAAAATAAATTACATTTAACATTCCAGGAGTATCCTTTTACACACCAGCAAGTCCAATGCAAATGGAATCCTTGGAAGAAGAAGTGAAAAAAAAAATTGGTTAAAAAATTTGTCATTAACTTGATTTAAATTCTTTTGTATTCCCAGGACTTGCATCTTTCCTGTTGGCCTGTCTGTCCGTCTATTCTTTGCCTAGTCGCCCGGAGGCAATAAGTAAGTAAGCAACAAATTGCGGAAGTCGGAATGTGTCTTTAGTGGCTACATAATTTTTTGTTGTTGTTGCTGCTGTAGATGCATTCCTGAACAAATGTTTTATTTTCTCTGTCCATTTTCCTGGCATTCATTTACTGTTGGTGATAATTTTTTTTATTCAACAATTTTTTTTCTTTCTTCTGCTTTGTCTTCTTTTATTTCTGTGGATAAATTTCATACTTTGCAATTAATTTAAGTAACACCGAAGGATAATACTTACTGGCCGTCCAAGGATAAATGCAACGGAACAAAAATAATACTAAAGACAATTAATTTAAGGCTATGTTGGTCTAGGTTTGATGTCCTGCGTGGCTAAAACAATGAAATTTGTTTAAGGACAAATTTTAGTTTTTTTGGATTTTTTTTTTTTGTGAAAAAGGACATTTCAAGGATTGCATGCAGTTGGGTTTTTTTTTTGGGAGATCTCTTAGAAATGACTTGGCTTTTCTTATTTCTGTTCGCTTTGAAAATAGCCTTAAGGTATTTTCCTTCAAGGATGTGCAAATATTTTGGATGGACTTGGTTAGGGGTAAAAAATGGCCAGGACATATATGGACAATATTGAAAGGAAAAATGAAGTAAGAAAATATTAAATTTTTAAATCAAATGAAATAAAAATTTGATGGAATGACCTCTCTCGTGATTTATGGATACTCGGATATATTGCCTTATTCCATGTCCTCCGATTTTATATATCAAGGACCCTAAGCTGCAATATTTTTCACATCCTTTCATATTTCTTTATTACCTCCAAAAAAATGTCCTTGTTAGAGCCAAAAAAATTATGCCCTCCCATTAACCAACTCTTTTTTTTTTTTTTGGTTGGAACCCAACAACTTTTA